TTCAATTTTTCGATCTTTTTCATCGCATTGTGATGACGCCACATACGCGATTTCGTCGACCGCGCTTTTGTGGAACGCGCTTTTGACTGGTCACGGGGTTTCCTGCCTAGGCAGGGGGTTGGACTAGAAGGCCTCCCAGCTCCCTTCCAACTCTGCTACTGCATAGAGTGCTAGAGAGAGGAGAGGGGGAAGAAAGGAGAAGGGAGGGGAGGATAGGGAGGAAAGAAAGCAGGAACTGGAGAGGAGACAGAGGGAAGGAAGAAGGAAGGAGTGGAGGAGAGAAAAGGGAGAAGAAAGGAGAGAGGGAGGAGGAGGAGAGAACAGGAGGGAAGACAGAGAGGGGGAGGGTGGGGATGGGTTCAGAGAATAACCCAACGCATGGGCATGTACACAACCGCAACGCCGCTTCCGGAGCTGTTCTCGGAGCCGACCCAAAGGCTGCACACGGCTTGGGTTGTAAAAATTAAAAAAAAAATAAACTGCACTTCGGAGGGCAGTGATTGGCTGCTCTTTAAAGCAGCACTGTCCTTTCCTGGGGGGAAATGACAGTGCTGCTTTAAAGAGTTGCAATGCAATTACATGTTTGTCCTCCGAGGGCAGTTTTCGGCATCGAAAAGAGAAGCAGGGTGCAAATACATATCATCCTGGCTAGGATATATATACAGGTACTCCTCACCTTATGACCACAATCCAGCCCCCACGTCTCCTATCGCTAAGCCAGGCGTTTTCTTCAAAGTAAGCTGTGCCCCATGACCTGCCTTGCCACGGAGGTTGAGCACATCCATGTCATTGTTAAGTGAGTCTCATGGCCATTAAGTGAATTGGGCTCCTTCCTTGAAGGAAGGTCGCGAGAGGAAGATCACGTGACACCCCCGGGACACCGCGACCGTCATAAATACGACCCGGTGGCTGAGTGTCTGAAGTTGGATCGCACTTATGGTCATATGTCTTTTTTTTTTCCTTGTAACTTTGTACAAGAAAACTTTGTAACTTTGGACGGTCACTAAATGAGGACTACCTGTACTAAAGGCATGAAACTGCTTGGGAGATATTCTACCCTGTTTTGGGAGGAAATAAACTAGAAGCAGAGATTTCTCCCCCCCCCCCTTGGCAATTTGAAGACACATCTACTATAACTCCCAGAATTTCCCTGCCGATATCAAGAATGCTGGGCGTTGAAGTCCAGACACAAAGCAAAGGCGGGACGGCCATTCTTTTGAGCTGTTTCTCAACCTTCGTGATTCGGAAAAATGGGTGGGCTTTTGGCTCCCAGAATTCCACAGCTGGCATGAGGAATTTTGGAAGTTGAAGTCCTCAGTAGCTTGGTTTGAGATCCAGTTTGAAGGGAATGGGCGAGTCCCGTGTGACCCTCTCCCCACGATTCGTTCCGACAACACCCAGAAACTAACTGATCTTTCTCTCTCCCACTCCCTGTCCCGTCCCCATCCTCCTCATCCGTTTAGGATGACCCCAGTGCCCCCCACAAACTCCAGGACCCCTTGAAATCCTGCCTCAAGGACGACGAAGCCTTTAACATCCAGAATTCCACCTCGCCCAAGCTGGATAACAGGAAAGGCAACCCGGACGATGCCGAAGTGAACTGTTTGCAGAACAATCTGACTTAAAAGATCCGACGAAAAAAAATAAAAAATAGAGCCGGAACAAAAG